TCGAACTGCATCACGAGGCAAGCCCTAACGTGGAATCCTGAAGGGAAGCGAAAAAGAGGAAGGCCAAAGAACACATTGCGTCGGATAATAGAAGCAGATATGAAAACGATGAATTACAACTGGACGGAGCTAGAAAGGATTGCCCAGGACAGGGTTGGATGGAGAATGCTGGTGAGCGGCCTATGCTCCTTCACGAGGAGTAACAGGCGTAAGAAAGTAAGTAAGTAGTTGTGGTCCTTCTCCCGACAGATCCTATGCACTTTGTGTCATCGATAATTCTCCTGAGTGGCCTGATCTATTTCTCATAACTTACTCAAATTCACACTTCACACTACAAGCACTGAGGAGTTCATATTGTATTAGTGACTGACGGTGACTTATTTTACTGTGAAGAGTGGAAATATCTGTTAACTGCTCTCAGACAACCCCTGTAATGATGTTTAGGCAGAAAAGTTTATCAGGACGTTGAAAAGTGATATTAATTCCACGAATGCTTTAAAACTTCCTAGACTGAAGAGGAGAGTATACACATTCCTATTGCAATATAGAAATGCCAAACACTTTTCAACGGAAGACATCCCAGCAAAGTTATTAAAGGTATGTATTTTTCGTTTGAATATGATGTGTTTGAAGTCTGTAGAAGTTTTATACGCCCCGAATGCCCTGGTATGGCCGAGAGTGGGGAGAGTCCGCTCTCCCTCTCGAAATACTCTCACACGGCCACGCGTATACAGCCTCTGCCAGGGAAGTCCTACTCATTGCCTTCTCGTGGCGGGGGTGTTGTTTACGAAAATGAGAGAACGAAAAGCGAATGTCCGGCGCATTAACCGGATTCCAAACCAACGGTGCACATGGGCTCCAGTATCCTGCGGGAACAAATGGTGTATGAACCAATCGTTGGTCACCGGCTACCATGGGACTGCATCTCCTTACGATGCTCCACTGCCTTGTGGGTTAGCCCTTCAGGTCAAACGCTCGGGGTGTGGCCCCCTAAGAAAACCACCTGCTTCGGTTTGTGCAGCCGGGCAGTATCACAGCCCACACGCAAATGATGAACTCTCTATATCTATGGAAACTACTTTTCTCGCTTCGAAAAACAATCAAATGATTCAAATTATTATCATTACTATTATTGTCATTATTATTACTATTATTATTATCACTATTATTACTATTATTTACCACATTATTCACCCTCCTTTATACTTATACAGCGGCTCGTCTTTGGTGGAAATTCGGCTGTATCTAAACGTTCTCGAGTCACTGTCCGGTTGAAAATTGTATGTTACCACCGAATATGAGTACTGAAGCAGTTTTTCTGAAACCGCGTGCGCCATTCAAACTGGCTGCCTTCAACGTTCGCACACTTATGCAGGTTGGACAACAGATAGGGCTGGCTATGTCTTCGGAAAGTCTTCATATCGATGTCTGCTGTCTATCCGAGACCCGTATTAAAGAGTCTGGTGAAGTACTACAAATTCGATCTCCATCAGTCACTTCAAAAAGCATGTTTTACGTGCGTTTATCCGGGGACCCTGTGGCAAATTCGTCTGGTCTTGCTGACGTTGGTGTCCCACTTAGCGCTACAGCTGAGGCGGCACTAATCGATTGGATCCCCATTAACAGTCGGTTATGTGCTGTTAGATTAGAAAGTTCCATCAAAGTGAGAAGAAATCGGCGTGAGAAACGATGTCTTTTCGTCATCTCCGCCTATGCGCCGACAGATTGCAGCCCGGATGCAATCAAGGATGAGTTGTAACACCAGTTATCTGTTCTTCTCCAGAAAGTGCGTTCGACAGATATTGTAGTACTAGCCGGAGACTTGGATGCTCAGTCGGGCGTCTAGGCACAAAAGAGAGTCGTTTAGGTGGCCAATGGGGACTTGTTGGTCGCAGGATAGATAACGGGGCGTGCTACCGGGCGTCCTCCTTCTGCATCTCATGCCCGGACTCAGATTGATCACGTCGCGATCAGCTACCGCTGGCGTGGTTGTGTACAAGACTGCCGCTCCTTTTGGAGTACCTATCTGGACTCTGATCATGCCTTGGTCTGCGCAAATCTTGCCTTACTTTTCAGTGGACAACGAAGTGACCGCCATCAACGAATTGATATTAGCCAGTTGGTTGCAACTTTTGTTGCAAGTAATTATCGAACCGAGCTAGCTGCTAGGCTAGCTACCATTCCACCGAAAAGTATAGGTGAACATTGGTTGCGATTGCATGACACCATAATAATGGCGGGTACAGTCAGCTGTGGTTTCGCGAAACGTCCCGCTTATAAGCATTGGGTTTCTTCAGGTTCCTTACAACTCATTGAAGCCCGTCGATCTACTCCGGGTGACCGTGAGTTTGACCATAAACGAAGGATGTTACGTAAGGAAACTGGGCAAAGCTTGCGTAAGGACAGAGAAGCCTGGTGGTCGAAGCGTGCTAATGAGCAGGCTGGGTTTCTTTCTGGTCGAGGATGTATTGATCATATCTTCACCCTTCGCCAAATGTTAGAACACCGCCATACTTATCAAAGGCCAACAATCGTAGTGTTTCTTGACGTCAGGGCTGCCTTCGATTAGTTGGACAGTGCTGTTCTCTGGGATTGTCTATTGAAGAAGGGTGTTCAAATGGTTCAAATGGTTCAAATGGTTGTGGACGGAATAGAAGAAGCTTTCGCTTAACAGGCTTCCGTGTCTAGTAGCAGGGGATCACGAAATCCTCCAGGCAGGAACCTAGGTATGTTAACAATAAAAGAGGAAAAGAAATTGGTAAATCATAGTGTGATGCTGTCCTTGGTCCTTAAGAATAGGTCAAGTTGCCTCTTGAAGGACTCCTGAGAAGTCGCTTGGACTAGCGTGCCTGAGAAGTTTATTAACATCCTAAAAGCCATATATACAAACACCTCAGGCAGAGTGAGGGCATACAACCACCCCTCTCCATTGTTCCATTCAAGTAGTGGGGTTAGTCAGGGTTGCCCAGTCTCACCATTCCTCTTCAACTCTGCCATCGATGACATTCTGGAAACAGCTCTGATGGATGTAAGTAATGGCGGTGTGGATCTGTTGCCTGGAGAAAGACTTCTCGACCTTGAGTATGCGGATGATATTGTCTTACTGAGCGATAATGCCCAAGGCATGCAATCCGCACTTAATCAGTTGGCAATCAGTGTCCGTAGGTATGGTATGTGCTTTGGACCTTCGAAGTGCAAAGTACTTCTACAAGACTGGCAGGATTCTAATCCTGTACTCACTCTGGATGGTGAGCAGATAGAAGTAGTCGAGAAGTTCGTGTATCTGGGTGGCTGCATAATTGCTGGTGGGGGTGTGAGTGATGAGATCATTGCACGTATAGTGAAAACCAGAGCGGCTTATGCCAATCTGGGCCACCTTTGGGGCCTTCATGATGTTAATCTGGCTGTGAAAAGTTGGGATCTACAATGCGTTGGTGAGAGCAGTTTTGCTCTATGCTTGTGAAACCTGGCCTCTCCGAGTTGAGGACGTTAGACGACTCTCTGTGTTCGATCATCGTTGTCTCCGAAGGATTGCTGACATCCAGTGGCAACACCATGTAAGTAATGCAGAGGTTCGGCACCCTGTGTTCGGGCACAGAGATGATAATTCAATTGGTGTTACCATCTTGAAACACCGACTTCGGTGGCTTGGACATGTTCTCCGAATGTCGTCCCAGAGAATTCCACGTCGTGCATTATTTGCCGACTCTGGGACTGGTTGGAAGAGGCGGAGAGGTGGTCAGTGTATGACATGGTGTCGTGGTATGAAAGAAAGCTGCAAAGGACTGGTTTCTGTTGGTCCTTCACTACTCCCTGGTTGGGGTTCGAGAGATGGTGCTACACAGTGGCTAGAGACGTTATCAGATATGGCTCAGAATAGAAGCCAGTGGCGATCCTGCTGTAACCTTTTACTTTCTTCATAAACAGTGGTTGTGTCTCCCTTACCTGAAAGATTTCTTCCGATTGTACCTTTGCTTTCCCTCATTACTACCACACTACCTTACACCAATCTCTTCGTTATTGTTCTCTTTTTTCTACGCTCTTTACCTTTTTTTCTTTTCGAATTCTCATTGTTTTGTGTGGCGCATATATATTGGCCCTCTCTTGTACCAATATTTATGTGTTCAAATAAATAAATAAATAAATAAGAAGTTTTATACTGTCATGGAAATGATCTTCGACCAGCCATGGGAATTGTGGTGAAGAATGTTGGAAAATATATGCATCGAATTCTAGATATCACTGATTTAAGTACACACAGCCGACATGTTGATCAGGTACAATTACAGGGATCAGGTGAATCTGTTCCATTTTCATTTTCCTAATTCTAATAACAATAAGTACATTCTAAGTCATACAGAGTGTACATCCGATACACAGACAGACATATGATGGATCTCAGGAGGAGAACAGTTGATTGCAGAAATTCGGATTACCATTTAAGCTGTGGCATTTGAGATGCAATCAAACAACCTTCTGTTTGGTCATTTGACAGCTGCTGGTATCCAAAAACCCCTATTACTCAGAGATAAACACACTCAGATTACGAGATATGCAGACCAACAAGCAACTACCGAACTGCCAAGCATTAGTCCTATCGAGTGACTAGTATACCGCCCATTACGCGTTGTCAAACTCACGAATCAGCACCCGGAGTAATGAATAGCAAATTCGAAGAAATAACTCAATTTATGAAGGCAAGTGACAAAGATACTAAATGCTGAACTTTGAACGATCTTGAACCGGGCTATCCAAATATTCACAACTACCCTCTGGCTTCAATTGTCAGACTATCATAATCTTACGTTTTTTCATTTCTGAATGTTGTCTACCACTTTCATCAATAAACTTAAGTGCGTTTAATGTGATTTTTGAGTCCTTGATTCACTTTTCTTTCCAGATAATCTCCACGCTCCTTCAACACACAAGGTACCTTCAGGTTAGAATCAAACCCACCGAAGAAGGAACGTTACTGCTTGTGTAGACCCATCTAGTTAAAAATGGATTTCCAACACCGTGTAGGAGGGAAGACTGGTTCTGGTGGTGTAGCATCGGAAGCTGAAGCTAATCGCGACCGTAGGGAACGTTTGCGACAACTGGCACTTGACACGATTGATCTGAACAAAGACCCGTATTTTATGAAAAATCACTTGGGGACATACGAATGTAAACTGTGCCTTACTTTGCACAATAATGAAGGGAGCTACCTTGCACACACTCAAGGTATTTTTATTCTCTACTATATCCCATCCTGATTTTATATCAGGTTCATATGAGTTTTGTTGTTCACGTACTATACAGAATACCGGTTTTTTATTGACCTTACTCTATATGAGTGATCGTATGTTCTCCGTGTTTCGCCCTCAAACCTCGTTCTCGTGAGTGGTTTAAATTGGCTTGTTGCAAGACGAACGAAACTTGCAATTACTGAATCCTCGGTTTTCTTCACGAAACTCAATAAAATTTCTAGTTAGGATGCTCTAGTCCTAGCTTGTGTACGATTAACAACAAGGTTGTGTAAATTTTGTCAATCACGAACTTAGTACACAGATCTGTGGACGGTATTTCGCTAACATTGGGACTATATCTAAGATGTTCTGACGAACGGCTAGGTTAACTGCACGTATTTGAGTTAAATGGCATGTTTTGTGTGAAAATCATATATCACAGACTAGTCACAGTTCATGCTTTCCCACTTCCTCACTATAGAGAACATACCTAGAGATTGATATTTTGCTGTTCTCTAGATGTATACATTTTCCGAAGTACTGTAAAAATATTTAATACCACTGACCAGTTTGTTTATTTAACCACCGTTTCTATCCGCCTTTTATCGGTAATACATCTAGGTATCTAACGGTTGGTCATGTGTAACATTTACTAATTCTATGTAGGAAATATTCGTCGTATCATAGTTACCACGTTCTTTAGATCGGTATAGAGCAGCTTACTGTTTTTACAGCGTAATTCACGGTCGAATATTTTTGTATATATTGCTAAAACTGCTTCATTATCGCCCTTTAACTACAAGTGTAAGATCAAACCTACCTTGATCTAACAGTCTTGTACTCTGTGTAGTCCAACCAGTTTCTGAGTGCTTATATTATTTCTAATTTAATTCTCGAATCCTGCTTTGCCTTCGCATTAAATTGAAATTTGCTACTATCTCCATCAGCCGTCGTTGGCGATGCTTAATAAGAGATTGTTGCTCATTCGGAAGCACATATTTAAACTCGGATCATGCCCTAGTTCGAGCACTCGTTTGTTTACGTCTTACTGGAAAAATACCCATTAGAGCCCAACTTAGTGATGAAGACATTTAGGAATATATTTCAGGAACTACTAGATAAGCAGCTAGTCAACCATGAAAGTAATACACAACCCGAGTTTGCTTGGGGTGGGATCCAAAAAGCTACGGAAACAGCAGCGATATCTTCTAGTAACAAACCAAAATATTAGGGAAAATCAGTGAATTTTAGTGGTGTCTACATAACTAATATATACTCGGAAACTCATCCCATCTGGCTCTTAACATGAAGAGGAGCGAAGACAGCTCAAAAGTAGACTGAATAAAGGCCTATATAGTGATTGTGATCAGTGGTAAGTATCTAAAGCAGGGGACGGAAAGTGCAGCAGCGATAGGTAACAGACAACCGTTCAGACTTATCAGGGAAGCGGGTATTTAAAACACGACTGTTAGTGAAACTATCACAGAAAAAGACGGCCATTATTCACTCTCAATCCAGGAAATTGGACCTATAGGCAGAAAACTATAAGGAACCTTCAGCCACTTTAGTTACCCACTATCTCCAAGCAACCTGAGTAGCAAATTTATGTAAGTCTCTCAACTTTTAGTAAGGTTGAAAAGGCTATAGGTAATCTAATGGTCTGAACCATGTTAGTAGATGCAAACTACTCTGTTAGGGTCCGTGTGACGATCGTAACCAATGATTAGAGACTCTGGATGGCATGGCCCAGAACCGATCACCATGGTGTAGGTGTATACACTTTGTCTTCCCTTAAATTATGGGATTAAAATCGCTTCATATCTTTCTTCCTGTTTTATGTCCTTATATTCAATCTTTCTCTTATACATTACCGCCACTGAATTAACTACTTCTATGAATCCGGTGTTCACCTTGTTGTGCTAATGAGGTATGGCAACTTGCACCGGTGCACATATGTGCCTGGTCCTACGTTGTATTTGACTGACTGACAAATAATCTAAAACAAGGGACAAAAGCAGGGCCCGATTGGCTAACCCTTGAAATGTTTGAGGGTGATGGTTCAGTTTTAGCAGTTAGATTAACTGAAATATTAGCTAAAATCTAGAAACTGGGCGTAACTCATCAGACTATTGTCGATTACTGATCGTCTGAGTTCACATGAAAGGACTAAAATCCTTTTGTAACAGTCACAGAGGGATCAGCCTGACTAATACAGGGACTAAAATATTAGCCTCATTAATAACTCGATGTCTAAGTAGGGCTTTTGAAGAGCAGACCTGAAAAATCCAGGCTGGTTTCAGACCTGGGTGTGAATGTATAGACCAAAATTTCACCCTCGATCCTGGCACATCAAAATCCTACTATAATTGTGTTCCTTGGCCTTGAGACAGCGTTCGACTCTGTTGATCGTGAGGTTCTATGTCGGTTTCTATCGCTAAAAGGCGTTCCAAAGAAGTACATCAACCTTGTACAGGCTTTCTACCCAAACACTTTTGACGAACTGTCATCGGAATTAGTTACTTCAGATAGCGTTCGTCAAGGTTGTCTACTTTCTCCATTTCCTTTTAACTTTGTCATTGACATACTTTTAGAGATAACACTTTCACCATCTAACTTCTCGGGGGCTGATCTACCAGGAGATTCACTGGATGAATTAGAATACGTAAATGATATAGTTCTGTTTAGTGAAGACTGACAAAATGCAGAGTTTTCTGACCATCTTAAGCAACAATGCAGGCATGTTTGGAATCAGGTTCTATCCATCTGAATGTAAAATATTACTTCAGGATTGGCTGGCGTCAGTGCCTAAATCAAGGGTAGGGAATGGATCAGTTAAAAAATCGATCACTTCACTTATCTTGGGAGTCTCATCAGGCGGCTCGACTAGTTTTTGCTAACTTGCGTCACTTGTGGTGTAGGTGAGATCTCCATCTTCCAACCAATGGACAAGTTTACTGGGCAGCAGTTCTCCCCGTTCAACTTTATGGGTGCGAAACATGACCATTAAGAATAGAAAATATTCTTAGGTTACTGGCATTCGATCGTATGTGTCTACAAAACATTGCTCATGTATTTTAGGACCGCGGAATAAGCAATACCTGGGTTAGGAGTAGAATGCCATGTAACGATGGTAAATCAACTAATGAGGTAGTAAATATTCATCAGATGAGGTGGTCGAAACATGTGTTATGTATGCCTAACCACTGCCTACCTCGACGGGTACTGTTTTCTGGTACGGAGTGAGTAGGATGAAAGAAAGCTGAGGGCGGCCAACCTAAAACATAGCATCAGTTCTTGAAGTCATTAAGAATTGATCTTAGCCATGTTAATAGTTACAAACTACCTGGTTCGGGTCCGCGTGATCATCATAATCAATGGTTAAACACTGAATAGCATGGCTCAAAATCGTTGGCAATAGCACAGTTTTATCTATTCTTTATATTCCCTCAAATCATGAGGTTCTAAATTCCCCATAACTTTTTTGTTTTTATTTCACTAATTTATATTTTCTTGAGTCGTATCTTCGATGCGTAGTCTTTCCTATCACCACTGAAACTTACTACCTCTACTCTTCTGGGGCTTGGCTTGACAATTTCATTTCTCTGTGCGAATGGAGTATGACAGCTTGAACTTAGTGTACATACGTACAAAGTTCTACGTTGTAATTGACTGATTGTTGCTATCTAACTTGTTTCTTTAATTATATGATGTTTTCTTTAGGGAAAAAGCATCAGTATAATTTGCAAAGACGAGCTGTTGAGCAGGCCCGTGAGGCTCCATCTACAATGCAACCAGAGCGCGTTAAAGTAGAGCCGAAGAAATTCATTAAAATTGGTCGTCCTGGATATAAAGTAAGTTTCTGTGTATATAAAAACGTGACATATATATATATATATATATCCGTCTGGTTGTAAAACCAATATTTATGATTTTATGGCGGATTAATATTTCCGTGATCTTTTCTTTTCGCATCTCTTACGTAACTTGACGGAAATATATGGTTTCATAGGTTCTAAATGGTGCTGTTTGTAGTTGAATAAATAGTGGTTGAAAACTTAAAGGATCTTCGTAGTAATTGTTGTTTCTCCTAACCGATTAGCATCCCAGTTAACCAAAATATGCTCCAGTCATTCTTACTTTAGAATTCGAAACATGTTTTGTTTTAAAATAATCCTATTTAAACTCGTGGTTAGTTATGTTTGGATTAAAACTTACAATTTCCAACTACGTTACCTTGTTTTTTCTTCTCAGGTAACCAAACAAAAGGATCCGGATGCTAATCAACAGTCTATGCTTTTCCAAATTGATTATCCAGAAATAGCTGATGCTTCTGGTGTAATACCTCGACATCGGTTTATGTCTGCTTATGAACAACATGTTGAACCACCAGATAAACGATGGCAATACTTATTGTTCGCTGCTGAACCATATGAAACAATTGCTTTTAAAATTCCTAGTCGTGAAGTAGATAAAGACCCCAAGAAGCTGTGGACTTATTGGAATTCCAGCTCTAAACAATTCTTCCTACAGGTTAGTTTGAAGTTGTTAAACAAAGTGGGTAGCGTAATAAAAGTTTCGTTGACTGTTGGTATTCACTCCCAAAATACTTTGTTTTAATCTTGTATGAGTAGTTACAACGATGAGCAAAACCATTTTACGGCAATGCTAGCTTTCTAAAGAGGAGATTTATGATACAATTCTGATGTTTAAACCTTGATAATTAGTTAAAAGGAGGTTCAGACCAGTAGCTCATTGAGTGAAAATTGATTGCCTCGAATACTACAAAGCCACTTTAGATTATACTTCTCATAAACAGTTAATCAAGAATCAGGTCATTTTATTAGTTTCCATAATAGATTTTTTTATAGTGATGGATGTAGGGCCCAAATTAATCCCCATCATAAAATTACGGTTCGTGTGATGCACAATACTCTCAACTTAACCATATTCTTATAAGCATCGTGCAGATTATTTTACCTCTATCAACAATTTTGTTTCATGTTAATTATGTTTTGGGTAATGACCGGCAGTGGAATCCAGAACACACGTTTCGTCTTTATATTCATTGGATGGATGTACCTAAATTCCAACGGATTCGACTAATTTCGAGTCGTCTGCTTAAGGTATGCGTATTACAACAGATGCTGATTAATTTCAGTCCCGAATTTCAGCAACGATGTAAATAAATAAATAATGACCTGAATTCATGTTAATATCTCCAAGATCTTATGGGAATGCATAGTTTTGATGTCAGAAAGTTAAAAATGAATATGTGGGGGGAAATCTTCACTATTAAAATACTGATTTGTTTCTAGCTTGGCTGATATAGAATTAAAAATGATTGATTTCATAGTTGCACTACAGTAAAAGATTATATCTATTTTTAACTACGGACTCACTTTTCGAGATTGATTCGCAAGTGATATCAGCGTAATAAATAAGAAGCACGTAAATAATCCGTTAGACCACGTTTGTGAGCTGGTCTTAATTTTCTTAATAGAATAAAACGTTAAAATAGATGGGTTTTTCGAATTTTCGTAACATTTTATCACTGAAATGTATATACTTCGTTGATACCTACATTCGCCTTACTCATCATCCGAAACCTTGCGGTACATCTTTATGTAAATGTTTTTCTATACCTTATATTTTTACGTTTGTGGCAATTATTCGTTCACAAAATACCGTGCTCTAATAGTTTTCAGCGAACTGAACTGTAGGGTTCAAAACCAATTCCAAATATTGAGATGTTTTGCCACGATTTTGAACAACTAAATTATTGTTATATTCTGTGATATTTTGCATTCAACATGACCAGCTGCTAATTTTGATGTTACCACTTTCCAACGGCAGTCTTCACTGTTATAATCGGTAAAAGCTAGGTTTTTATACTACACACGGAATGCTGAACGTTTTCGCACAAATAAATTAACTCATCCAACAAACACCCAAACTGCATTGTGATTTATCACAGATATTTATTTCTAGTGTGATTTTCAATATTGTTAGTGTTTTCACTTTTCCAAACACATCTCACTTATTGTGCAACTTTATTTTCCTAATGTAGTTCGCTTTCAAACTAGAAAGTCAATCATCTTCTACCGCTATGCTTCGTGATTTAGAAATGCAAAAAGCTAAAGCTCAACATGCCCAACTTCAGCTTCAATTACCTCCACCGCCACCGCCACCACCTCCGCCTCCACCACATGCTATTGGTCTTCCTATTCCAAGTTTTCTTCTTAATATGCCTTTAAATACCAGCATGACTAACATGCCGCCGCCCCCGCCTCCGCCACCAATTATGGTTGGAGCAAAAGATACAAAGCCCTTACTACCTCCTCCTCCTCCACCACCACCTTCATTCTCACTAGGTGCTCCGCCGCCCCCTCCACCACCGCCCGCGTTTGGAGTAAATTCTAGTGGTGTAGGGACAAATGCTTCTTCAGCACCAATCCCACCACCGCCGCCACCAACACCCCCAGCTTCCCTTCAACTGAATGGGAACTAAGCAGTTGATTGTTGTACTCTGTTAATATTTATATACACACATGAGTTATTTACCTATTTGTTCTAATTTGCTTATACTCGTCAATTTCCGTTGACGGGTGTTGTGATCATAGAAAAAATGATGTGGATATAATCAAATAGGTGTAAAATCCACAAATCTGCCAAAATTATGGATGAATGTCTCATGTATAATCTTCTTGCTAAGGTCGTACATATTTTTACACGAAAATGACGTGATATTCGGTTGGGGATAGTATTTAATCCATGTCTTGAAAATTTTGATTGACCAGAACCGAGATCGTTTGTAGCAGCACTGGAAAGTAAATTCGGATTCCCACTGAAGAATTAGTCACCATTGATCGGTGCAGGGGTCCTCGGAAACTGTTCTCTCGTTAGTCATTGCTGCACCACAGATTTAATGATCATACTGGATTTTCGTCGTCTTAGTAAGTACAGGATTCCATGAAAGACGGTTCCAGTCGCATGATATCGACCTAACATTTCAGTTAATGGGATACAAAAATTTTTGAATATGGTGGCACTTGATCGTTGTAGAAATTACTTGTGAATGTTTTCATCTAAATTTCTGGCATAAAAGCTTTAATTGCATGTCTAAATAAAACAAACATGCGTAATTTTGGTGAGACATATATTTTGAGTGGTTACACCTAGTACTAAACCCTCATGATTCAAGTGCAATATATATCTCACAATTCAGCTCCTCGTCATTTTCCAGTGGCACCAATAGATTCAGTCCTCAAGAATTGGCACGTCTGTGTCATCTCTTTGTATGATATAAAACTTTGACGTGGAACCTAACATAGAAGCATTCCATTCTTCGTTTTCCTTTTTATAAACAGTGGAAATGTATAAGTCACATAGTCATAGACATCTTAGATCCTGGGATAAGTGCACATCGAAGTGGAGCTACGCTTCAAACCAGAACAGCAACAGAAGATCCAATAGATAAAGATCGATAGTCGGAATAGTAGTAGTAACGATAGGAAAACGGAAACGTAAAACAAAAGAATATGTAATGAGATAGAATGTAGCTGGTTTACACTGATTACTTCTAGCGGGACAGGGTCGAAGTGTAAACAAATACCCGAGGGAATTACACACTTTTTAGCCACTTGGAACTCTACCTACTCCCCCCTCCAAAAAATACTAAAATGGCTTCTCAGATAATCATTGGTAAGTAAACTTACGACAAGACGAATCTCATTTGTAATTCAACCTAGAAACATGTAATTAGATACTCTGGACGCTGACTGGGACAAAACTAATCCAAATCATTTTGCAACTGATACCAAAGCAAGACTTTATCTAATTCTTTTGGGACATTTGCAAAACTACTAACACATAAAGTTACCGATGGAGCGTCGCTGTATTGACCAAATTATGTTGTCCCCATGTAAGTGTTCCAATTGGACAAAAAGGCGAGACCACGTTACCGATTTTGTGATGTTTGTTCGATATTCAATTCCTCCGTTTAATATTTTCTTATTTTTAGCGTTAGTTTGTTCATTGTAACATTGGTTACATTTTACTATGATTTGTATTAATTCGGTATAAACTTGGTTCACTATGAAATACAGCATGCATTTTCGTAGTAACTCTGTATCCCCTCTACATGTGGTTGATGTGAACAGAAACAAAGGATCCATAACAAACAACGGCAGTTATTTTTGGGACGTTATTTCGCTTGATTCAAAGTTCTTAAAATCCTAACATTTGGTTTTATCCCTAGGTTATTCTATCGACCATAATCTTTCGCTTGATGTGTGATTGACTGCCACACCCTTTTCTTTGCCAAAAGCCTTGTTGTTTAAACGTAACCTTTTGTACTCTATTTTTTCTGTTCTAATACCCAGTTTGGACATAATTGTATTTTTCCAATTGTTTGTACGTTGTGGTCGGTTTGGTCGTCTCTACCCATGTATCTTTTCCCACTAATCTTAATCAAGAACAAATCGGGTAATGTTCCAGTCTTCGTCTTTCTTCCCAAGGTCATTAGTTGCGATTCGGACTCATGCGTTTCTAGCCTCATGGTTAAACCAGTTAGCTCGCCGTGTCAGAACTCAACCTAGAGTGAGACAAGTTCTCTCCTGTATATTATTGGGTAGACAGATCAAGTACGTAACAAAGATATATGTTGACTAGTCATCAAATGGCAGTAAAATTAATAAATGAGTGTATTTTAATAAAAAAATTAAAGCGGTTTCGAGGGCAAAACAAATCTACAATCAATTTTGGTCTTATTATTTGCGTAGTGTAAATCATTAGCTCATTGTTCAAAGTAATCAGCTATTCAAAATCGAGGCAGTTTTCCCGTCATAAGTATTCACGGTTTCATCAGTAAACATCTAAGCCTGATCTGTTTTCTTCATTTGCAAATGTATATGCTCCTGTAAGAAGTGTTACGAGTAGAGTTACACCAGCCCTAATGCCACATCATCGTGCACTATTCAGTGTAGTTATCTATGTGAAACTCAGTATCATATCATTTAATGAGCAAGGACTCTGAGACAGGCTCTCCTTCCTACATCCTATGCCAGAATCTAATGTTGTTTTTACATGCGTACTCCTAGTTACTGTAAGGATTTTCATCCGAAATTTTTGGCTGTCCTGGTTTATTTATTCAGTATTTTTTATAGCTTTTGTTCACTTATTACAGCGTTGACGATCTCCCAATGCCATACGAGTTTGACATAACGATTGTATTCATAAATACATTACTACTACCTTCAGTTTACTAACAATTCCCCTTTGCTACTTAAATTCTACGGGCTTACGTCCCTCCTGTAAAGCATTCCACACACGCAAACCTAAGATATCCACACGTGAGCTATAATAATTCTGAATTTATACGTGACTTTTTTTACTTGGTCGGTCAAAGTGCAGTGATGTTGAGAAATTGTCAAGCAAGTTTGTAAGCTCGCTGACTTGCCTTCAAACAACAACTATACTGTCCAATAATTCATCTTGCCTCATGCTTGTCACGTAGTCCTCGAACCCGGTAAGTTGAGAGACCAGTTCCAATTACCCCTACAAACCATATGGTGGACAACTGACAAGTGGTTAATAGCATACTGTTCACCCTGAACCGACTGACAACAGATGTAACACCAGTAAGATTTAATATCATTCCTCCTGAACTGGTCTGTATACTAGGTCTAAATAACTAACCGCTGTCGCATTTATTACTTATCAATGCACTTGGTTAATATATACTCCAGCTTCTTTCGGTCTTTGTCATTTTATGCATGCTTTTGAAAAAAGCTACTGATGTCCGCATGATTCTGTTATTTTTTCATAGTGGTGTGCCTCAACGCAGTCAACATAGGTGTCAAGACAATACAACCGTCAACGCCGAACTAAACATGTACGCGCTGAATAATACCTTGAGACAAATACCAAGGTTACAGTACCTCGGCGTCATCCGATCAGGTGAAAATCGATTGTCGAGAAAGAGTGATGAGATATTGACACCACCAGACAGTAAATTCCAGAAACCATGGTACAGTGTCGGGGCGTCCCGACCCCGATGTTTCTAGCGCGCTTTGTCAATAGCATTATGTTAAAGGAAATGAAACATTGTTGACAACCCCATACAGTCAAAAACCTTTACCACTTGTTCCACAACTGTTTGTTTACCGTTAATTTTGTCAGTTGAATTATTTAAGTGTTATTTGAATAGTAACAATTTGTTCACCTGTGTTATTACTACTATCATTGACAGTCAAGGGATATGCCCCCCTCTCCAGGTTATATGTTAGTTAGCTCATAAATATATGTGCATGCTCGAATCTTGTCAATTGGTTTGAATCCGAATTATATTAAAGCCAAGCCACTATAAACCCGTAAGTGCTCAGGAACTTCAAGGTCTGTGACTAATTTTAGTCCGTCCACTTTCAGAGCAAGAGGGAAATTGATAGTAGTATTGAAGTTAGAATTTAAGCGATAGTTTCTGGTAGTCCTTAAAAGACAGAATCAATGGCGAAATAATTCTCTGTATTTTATATTTATAGCAAAGGGGACACTTAATATTATTAAATTGTTTACACGTAGAACTTTACAAAAGCTTTCAAGATTTATTAACTTATCTGTAACAAATAAAAGACCGGGTATATAATCACACGTTACGTGAGCACAACGAAAGAACGTGAAATTGATAATTAACCATGTTTTTCACAGCAAATATAAACAGGAAAATACGAAATAAACCACCAAAATGTTTAATACAAGGCTGAAGTGCTTATAATTATTTAGTAATTAAAGAAAGCATCACAGATTGTTGTATAAATTATGGCCTAAAAAAGGGCAAACAGAAATAAAGATTTCTAGCAAAGCAAACTCAGATTCGTCAAGAGAAATTTCAAGTCGAACTGTAGTTAAATAGTAATTCACCAAATGAAAATAGATAAGCTGTACATAGATATAAATATATCATTTTTATAGGTACGGAAATACATTAAGACCAAGTTTGCCGAAGTAAATCAAGAAGAGAAATGAAATGTCGAAAACAACTAAAGATCGTTCAAGAATAGCTATTATATGTATGTAGTGTGTGAAAGTCTTTGCAAGTTTCAAAGGAATTTCTGAACAAATAGACTTGATATTCAACAACCACAGGTTTTCCACTGGTTCTCTTGAGGAGGCTCGATCGGTTTCAGTTCAATATCTGCAGGGAAGTTTGATAAATAAAACCAGTTACAAATTTTTGAATGAAACGAGAGAAGAATGGGTAATGCAGTATATCATTGGTGTATATTATGGGGTTATTAAAGTTAAGGATGAATAGGCCTAAATATACGCATATATCCATAGATGTTAGAAATGAAAAATACAATCCAATGATCAAATAATTTTGGGCGGTTGATTCTTAAATGTTAATATGAGAAGAACTTGCTGTCAAAAATTATGCTACTACAAAAACAAGGTAACCATATCATGTATAAAACATTTGCTGCTATTTAAAATCAGCGACCATTGTAGATGAGAAGACCAAGTGTTGTTTAGGCTTAAAATAAATCCAACAAGTTAAAATTTGAAGCGTGAGAATCACTTACCTATATTTGGGCTAGTGTGTTACCACCAACTTTACATTAAAAATGATAAACGCAAATTTATTACATCTCTTTTCTACTACACACACACAGAATAAAGTTCAAATATCATCAGCACAAAAAAATTGACAATACAGCAACCTACTACACAAAATTATCATTTTCAAAACAGAAAATTCATTAAGAGGAAAAATCAAAAGTGAAACCACCGAGAAATGTATCCAAAACTACATGTGCATTGAATTAGTAGCGCAAATGTGCTAAAAGGTGTGTAAACAAGTTTATAAAAAACAAATGCTTACAATTAAGTGACTTAGCACCAGCAAACTCGTTGGTTAAAATCAGTATCCTTAGAGGCATCGTGTAACTTAACCTCGATGACTAGATTTATTAAACAAAAACACGACACAAAAAATACAATTCGCAAACACCGATTTCCGAAATGGAAATTATCCAAATCAAGGAGAAAAGCAGTATTGGTAAGTTTAACATTTTTATATTCTAATCATTTTGAATAAAACTGGTCGAGTCAGAGCCTATGGAAAATTGTCACTAGAGCTAATATTATCACGTAGTGTTTATCAGGGTTATGAAACGTCTGGGATGATCTAAGTTATCGTTCCAAATCAGATACATAATTATTATACCTGTTAGTCATTTTACAACTCGTTCAATCATAAGATACTGTCATGGACTGAATAATGGTAACGAATTGTTTTGGCCTTGACCAGAGAGCAGTACTGAATACTTACAATAACCAAGACCGTTAAATCAGTTTAGGAAAGTTTTATAGACATAAAATAGTTCAATGACCCCAGACATTTAGCAAACTAATGAAGTAGGTGGGAGAGTTTTGGAGCTTGAGACCTACCAGCCAAGTGTTTTAATCAATAAGTCACCATATAACTAACCAGCATACATGCTTTAGGTGTCTAAAATAAATACGAAATTTCTTTGTAGTGCTGACTAAATGAACAATAAAAGATAAAACAATGGCTGTGTAGATAAGATCGGAAAGGATACAGTCATCATGTCTAGAAAGTGGACTCTTTTGATCAACCAATTCTGTTGCGATTCGACGGAACAGCTGAAAAAAAAAATATACAAAATGAAAATATAATTACTGGCTTATCACAGATATTTGACATCATTACCGTCAAGCCATTAATAAAAAGCTGGAACACGGTTTAGAAATGAAGATAAACTTCGACTAATTGGTTAAAATGCGCCCTTAAATGCCCTGGTATGGTTGGGGGTGGGGAGAGTCATCTCCCTCTTGAAATGCACTTACATGGTCATGCGTATACAGCTACTGCAAGGAAAATCCCACCCACTGCCTACTTACGGTGAGTGTCGTTTACGAAATTGAGAGGACGAAACATGAATGTCCGGGGATTAACCGGGTTGGTGGACATGGAAAGTCCACTTAGGGGAGTCGGAAAACCCTGATTCCAAACCAATGGTGCACATGGGCTCCAGGACCCTAAGGAAATAAATGGCGTATGAACCAATTATTGGTTACCGGTTACTATGGGACTCCATCCCCTGATGTTGCTCCACTGCCTTGTGGATTAGACCTCTAGGTTAAAGGCTCGGGATATGACTCCCTAAGAAAACCACCTGCTTCGGTTTGGGCACCCGGGTAGTACCACAACCCAAATACAGATCAAATGCGGTGCATATGTATTTGGTGCCCCTTTGTACTAATATTTGTGTTCAAATAATAATAATCAATCATTAACATTTTACTTAAGTGAAAGAAGAGAACTGGTGATGGATGCAACTGAAAAACAACAAAGGTGAAGTAGATAAGAGTAATTCGAGACATAAATCATATAGACCACATACAAATTTCTGATATTTTTAGGATGCTAAACAGTTCACGTTTCCTTGAACACTTTATATGTATCTATCATTTATGCACAACATAACTTACTTGTACAATAAGTTTATTATTATAAATTAATTTGAGTTAAGTAAACATTAGGATAAGAAGCAACTGTACATTAACAGCTCACTCGCAAAAACGGTTCAGCAAATACAGTTTTATGGTAATCCATACCGAAAATTTGAAGCCTTATCATGAATTTGTCTATCTGCTAATTACGTACACCGCAAAGTAGCATTTGAGTTATATCAAAATAAACCTAACCGAATTCTGCTTCACAATAATCCATAAGTCAAAAAATGATATGTAGCACCACTAAGCTTTATCACGTTTTAGAAAACAACTTTGAGTGATATTATAGTCAACATAATTTTGTTCTGGGTTGAAACCAATATTTTTGTGATAACTGGGAACGAGCAGTGTTAATTGTATCATATCCACATGTATCGTTAAGTGGACCAAAGCAGAACTATGCGATATATTTTCAAACGTTCAGCAAACATACAAACCACCGAAATAACTGGGAACCTAATATAGTGCAGTAATCAGACGAAATGTCAGTGGGCATTAGAATACATGGGGGGAAAATGTCTAGCGTTCAAGGAAAGAGAGTGAGTGTACCTACAGGGGAGGTCTGTCGCTTAACGAACCGACTTTTTCGTATAGAGCACAACCTAATTCTACAGCTAGTTTTTTCAGTCTCAATATATGAAAACAGCATAAACGAATGTTACTAAATCGCACAGGCGGTGCTTCCACAACTGCTTACAGAGAACGCGGCAAACAGAGCGTCACGATGTCTGACAACAAGAGCATATACTTAAGTGCTGAAGAAAATGTGATCAGAAAATTTTATTTCTACACTAGCTAAAAGCGTGTTTGTTTGGGATGAGACAGTGCCAGCTGTATGGTTAGTCGAGATTAGATCACGACGTTTGGAATCATATTTGTAAAATCTAGTCCTAGAAAACCAAACTGGGTGAATATCTCTGGAAAACTTTTGTGTAGTGGTGATAGATGTACCTATTTACGAGGAAGACTGCGCAAAAAAATTCACTACGTCACACTTTATAAGTCTTTAAAAACCCGAATACTAGAACAAGATAATAAATCCTCTAAATAAAACGCCATAAACGCTCAGACATTTTGAGACTTGAAATCGACGGAAATCAGATTTACTTTACAGATTAAAGCAGCTGAGATATTGAGTCATCTTTAGATAAAGGGGAACAGAAGTTTAAAGTGAAGACTAAGATATTACCTATACATATGACAATCAAGCAAACTTAACCAAAATTGTATTATTTCACTACTCACAACTTTGACATTATATCCAGCCTTCGCGCTCGTTTCAATAAACATGACTTCTAGTTTTTTAGCAAGATGCTCGCCCTCTTCAGTAGTCACTTTTCTGCAACATAAGGATCCAGGATATTTTTACCCACCGTTTATCAGATAGATCTGTTTTGTTTCCAACGAGGATAATAATAACATCCCCGCCACGTTCGTTTCTGACGTCATCAACCCACTTTGAAGCCTGATGGAAAGATCCAGCGTCTACAAGATAAACAATGCAAGTAAAACATACTGCATATGTCATAAACAACAACTGCGGCTGAGGAGTCACGTATGTAGCTGGGAATCAAACTTCGAAAACGTTCCTGTCCCGCAGTGTCCCATAATTGCAGACGAATCTGTTGGGTTCGTTTACATTCTTAAACTTACAGTTCGATCCTCAAGGTACATAGTTTTTGATAAAAAGTCAATACCAATTGTTGCCTGAAAGGTGAGAATATTATAGTACTACTTGTTATTGTACCTGATACAGATTGTCAAAAGTTTCATACATAAACCTAGTTATGAGGGACGTCTTCCCGACTTAAATTGGAATGCATTCTGGCAATTTTATAAGAATTTACCACTCTGTTCTCCCAAAAACACCAGCTTGAACTTTTGCAAAGGATTGTTAAAGTCGGCCATCGCTCAGTACCAAAGGACTAGCCACGCAAATCACCGCCACAAGCTAATTTGAGTGAGTAAACAAAAGCAGGTTTCAAATCTTCATATTTATTTCATCTTCAGATGAGTCCCTAAATTTTACGGCGCGGTTCCAGGTATCTCATTTCATAATATAAGTAATCTAGTCATGCAATCCCAATAGTCCTAACGAACCTGTCATTTGTAGATGCGTTACAAGTAACCCCCTAGTTGTTTCCGTGAATTTTAGGTGTTGTTGTGGTATCTTAATGTCGCTGGGATAAATCAATTGCCTTAAGTTTTTCAATAAAACCTTTATTACTACCAAAATGCCTGTTGAAACCCTTCATAAAAAATGTTGGAATGATAGTAATACAATGGAGATGATTTCTTGATGAATAACATTTTGAATCTAGTTTTCGTGTGAAAATTCATTATTATGAAGTCTTTTTCCAGGTTGAGGTCTAACCGAATCACTTCTATTGACCAGATTTATTATTAATTTGCAAAATGGAATACGCCTTCACCAAGATTCTTATACTCAGGGTAGTGACGGAATTTACGGATAACATAGGGTCGCAGATGAAAATGACTGCGTTTTCGGCGTCTAAATTGCCAATAAAAGTTTCCATGCTTTGAGGTCAATACGTTCTCATTTACACAGAGTCGTAAATAAGTGATGTTTGGCTCCATTAATATGGAAAGCTTTCAGTTATATGAATTATAGATTCAGCGTGGTTCTAAATTGCTCAAAGTACCCAGAATTTGTGTTCTTCGGTAAGCATACTGACAGCAAAGACACACCTAGCATCAGGTTCACAAGCTGAAACCCGTGATGGCTATACAGAGGTAAATGAATCCCTAAAATAAACAGTTCTGTATGTCGTCAATGTCGATGCTGACCTCATTAATTTTACTGGACCCAACCTAGCTGAATGCTCTTGGTTACACGTTCGCACAAGAGCACCAGTGAGGTAAGCCGTGCCACACATCCGTTGCATCTACTTGCCAGCTTTCCAAATATAACTTAGAACCGTTTCACTCCCGACTACTAATTTGACTAGGTTGGTATTCGTCAATTACGGCGCTGAGAACAAAAGCGTCGTCAAACCCTGAGTATCTAGGGCATCTCTATGTCCATTCCCATTGTAGTCAGATCTTAGCCTGCTATAGTGATGACACAGAGTAATGACCTCCTAAACCTTAAATCTGGCGTCAACCTCTGTCGAGACCTAAGGGTTTCGATTCCGTTGACTTTTTGAAATGTAAGTGAGGAAGTAGTTCAACCCAGTTCGGCTTTGATCTGAGGAATAATACTTAGTTCAGCAACGGCATTCACAAAAATACTCAAGCCTGAATTTCTGTCTTCAACATGAAAAGTTGACTGTCTAGACTTCTCCTCACGTCGTTACGACGTTAAGGGAGTCTTTTGTCTCTCATGTTAGTTGTAGTCCGTGTGGGCCAGGTACGTGGTTAATTGTACCCAAGTGACTTGACACTGAATCACCAGTGGTTTCAGCATAGCTGTTCGGATTTTCTGAACGTTTGTTTTCTGCTTTCTGGTCTGAAACTCGGTCGTTTTGGTGACTCAATTTTGTTTCTATGATCTATTTGCGTCTTCGCAATAGTCTCTTTGAGACGTTACTTTTAATGAGTTTTGATGATAGTCTTTTGATGACTTCTTTTCAGGTGTGATTTATCGTAAGTGATTTTGCCGGAGGACTCCTCTCTATTATTCCTCCTGCAACGCATGGTCACTGAGGCAAAGATGAGTTCATTTCTTGGGCATCCAAACAATACTAGACGTAGTATAAGAGATCATATATCAATCGTTGATTTAGGACTACTTTAATCGCGGTGTTGCCGCCAGCTAAGACTTGGAGTTGACAAAGTAACCACGAGAGTAACCTATCGCCTAGTGTCTCCTCTTAAAAAGCCTGTAAATTCTCTTACCGTCCGACAATGACAGTTCGTTGTCTCACAGTTTAAGACAATAATAATAGTAATTTATCCTTAAATGACTATCTGTTGCATGAGGCATGCCAGTTTGCAGGCAAGATCAAATCGATACAGAAGGTACAGTCTTCAGTGTAGTAGGTTACTCAGTTAGGTTGATATTTTATAAGGTACATTGATCATAAAATTACGGGGGATAACACTTCTCACATATCAATGTAAATAATATTATTAATACTCGTATTGTCATTATGACAGTTTGCGAGCTTTATGTAGGTTGCGTTGCAACTGATGGTCAAGAATAAGTTCACATAAAGTTGAGAGCTTCTGGAAACTACGACCTTGTATTCCTCTGGAACGTCTGAGGCATTTTCCATGGACGAAGTCGCTCGTTCCATGTGTTTTCGGTGACATATCTCAAAGGGGCTGAAAAGATGGTGGGAAAAAGAAAGGACGAGAAGTAAAACAGATAATGCTAATGTATACTGAAGTTTAGTCATTTGTGGTGGAATAATTAAGGTATGACTATTTAGTTTAATTCTCTTTTATTAAGATGCTTTTTAAGCAAGAGCATTCTAATAGGTAGAAGAAAATAAGCGTAAATAAGCTATGAATGTATAAAGAACTGTATAACTTGAGGTGGTTAAAAAGAAGCTGAAAGCATATGATTATGTGTGGTTTCCAAATATAATATTGAAAACAGTATTCTGACACGCAAATGGCTATCTCACGTTTTGTCGAAAGTATTTCAGCTCATTTTTACTTGTATTGATTTTGTAGGTACATGAGCAGTCTTCTTTTTTAGCAAATTATCTAGTTTTGCTTGTAATAGGATTACTAAGTAGGATGTGAAACCAATTCAACGTCAAAAACACGACTCAAAGAGGTATTTTTCATAATAAATTAGCATCAGTACCATTTATCCGTGACATCCCGCTTGATCATAAGGAGCCGTAATTTGACAACATTTTCACGCCTACAGACATGGGTGGACCGAAGTTATCTCCCCACCATCATTTTCGCTGGTCAGTAACATCACCCCCTATCCTTTTGTGATGTTAGGCTCTCTTACGTTTGTGGTAAATATGAATATTGCTTTAATTCATGCTCCTTGTTGGGATGTACCGTCTCTACTAGTTCCATGTTGCAAGCAAATCAGATGGTTAAAGCTTCTGTAATGTGGGTTAGATATCCATTTTATATATCACAACGCTATGAAGATAAGTAATGGTATAAGTTATAGGACAGTGATCAGATTATATGGGATTTAGAGATGGTGAGGTTATATGACAAATCAAAGAATATGCAAGAGTTTGGAATTGTAAACGTTTCGGAGTAAAAAAACAAAACAATGAGCAGCTCACAAGAATTTAGGATATTATGAGTTTCTTACAAATGGCCATAGCTGATCAGCATCCATGTGATTAGTGTGTTATCTATCTACTTCTAATGGAAAAAGGGATTTGACACTTTGGAGGAATAACCATTAGAGTGATTCGGAGTCTGAATGTGAAGAGTAGGAGCACACGTGCAAGACCAATGGTCAATGAATAATAGGATAGGGTAAACCATGTGTTCTATCGTTTGATTACATTCATATTATTGACAACTTGGTCCGTTAGATTCATGATCGGTCTAGATATTAGGCAGTCCCCAATAAAGTGCCTCATTTGTGGGCAGAAAATTAGCGAATAGTTCATAAAGCTTTTTAGCGTCAAGTAACACTGTTATTAGGTTTTCGAACTTGGTGGTAGTGTCGCAGTTACGGATAGGTATTGGCAACCTACTGCATAAAAAAAGTTACCGCACTGTAAAAAAATTACAACGCATTTGTTTCCGGTGTTCAACAATAAGTAGTGTATATGCCTTGTTTCTGAGTCTGTGGACTAGGTCATGGGTCACGACTGGGCAGGAGGTTAGCAGTGGAAGTCCGCATATTAACTTGTAGAGGAATATAAGATTTTTCCATAGCTGACGGCGCCATAAGGGTTCTAATTAGAGGTGCTTACATCCATCTATGCAGTTGAGAGTGGAATCATATCATAGCAATCGGTGTGTGAAGCGACTTTGGAGATCTTGTACGCTTGTCTTGTCTGTGGTATTCATGTTTGAGAAGATAAAAGTGATATTCATTGGAGCGTCGTATACATCTTTTGTAAAGGGTAAGCTTAGTCTCTGTTGTGGGGAAATTTTTCATTATGGAACCAACTATCCGTTTAGATTTAGAAACAATAAAGGAGACATGTTCTTCAAATTTTAGGCTTTCTGTGTAATTAATACCTTGATCGTGCACTGATTCGAGTGTTTGAACTCTACTTTTATTTAAGTAAAGTTGTTATTCATATAGATGTTTTCTGAAATACATGATCCCACAGTTGTTGAGGCTAAATGGTAATTGCCATTTTTTGCTCCATATAGTTAGGTTATTGAGGTGACTTTAAATCTGGGATACATTTTCACTTATAACCTCAGAATTAAAGCTGTGTGCTATTTTGAGATCGTCAACGTATAAGTATGGTCTCCCAGATTTTATATTGTTTATATATATAAGAAACAAGAGCAAACCTAATACACTTCCCCGGATGACTCCACTAGATATTGGTCTAGGTGATGAGAGAGAGTCATTGTACTTTACCATTTGTTTACTTTCTGTTAAGAATGAAGGAAACCATGAATATAGTGGGTTGTTGATTCCAAAGGACCTTAGACTGACGAGAAGCCTTTTATGTGGGACCTTATCAAAAGCTTTCTTAAAGTCTAGGAATAAAACCGATACAAAGAGCCCGCTGTCTCGTTTCAGAGTTATGTCATTCAGGTAGTCTACTAGGCATGTATCGCATGATCTGAACCTAAGAATCCCATGTTGGGAGGTCGAGATGAGATTATTAGTAAGTAGACTTTGAACAACCATCTCCTTAGCTACTTTTCCCATCACTCTAGATACCACTGAGGTTATGTTTATGGGCCGGTAATTTTCAAAATTTATTTCTGGTTCTATCTTAATTTTGGGGATGATATGTATAGTTTTCCAGGTAGTAGGGTAACACGCTGTGGGGAGTGATATCGCAAATAGTTTGAGAAGTAAAACACACATGTCATCATCACCATTTTTAGAATGCTGGCCGGAATACCATCTGGTCCATCAGTGTATTAGTATTTCAATGTGCTAATTGCCTTAGAAATATTCAGTAATATCTCCATATCCGGTATTATTTATTGCTGCAATCTTGACTGAATGGTGGATCACATTTTGTCGCAGTCAAA